GTACATTGCAGCTCTCAAGAATGATACAATATGAATAGGGCGAATTGGCCTTGCTAACTTGATACAGGGTGTCACAATACGATCCTAGAACATACAACACAGGCTAGTCTGCTAGGGGTGAGGCCTGCGATGGGCAGAGTACCTGTAGCAGAAGAAAAAGAAGTGAAAAAAAATATGAGAATCAAAACGAAGGAAAGGCTTCCCCCAGATCGGGGAAGCAACCACGGACACTCAATACCGTAGTATACTCAAGTGGACTCTCTACCACAGTGCGATGCCCGCATTTCCAAGAAGTGTACCATCCGGCGGTCAAGAGCCGTGCTGTATGGAATACAATACCATCCCACAAAATCCCCCCCCCCGAAAATCCATCCCGCCACAACACAACAACGAAACAACCAAAATGCAATTCCACGTGAAGGAAGCAAAAAAAAAAAAAACACGTAAGCAAGAAGGAGAATAATATGGGAGAACCACACGTTCCGAAAAAACATTGAAAGTACATAATACGCAATCACACCACTAACAAAAAAAAAACCCAGAGACATCCATCCACCACCACCGCCAACAAGACCTTCACCCATCCCCCAGTTTCCAGCAAATCATTCATTGCCATACAAAAAAAAATCCCACAAAGCACACTACAGCGCCAGCGCCTCCTCTACGCGCAAAACGAATATCTCCAATGCAGTAGTAGCGGTCACTGCGAAAGCAGCAGCGGTGGGCAGGTAGTTTTCCGGCCATTAGCGGCGCCGACTTTTTTTAAACCCCCCCCCCCCAAATGAATCAAGTATCATATTCGATTCCGCGCAAAGATGTCGAGCACGAGCTGTGAGCCTATTCCATTCCAGTAACTTGTATTTATCGGTCCGGTGGACTTCTCGAAGGCTCGTGATCGAGATCTTTTACCCACCTTCAGTTTCTCTGAAACTTTTTTTTTTTTCTTCATCTTTTTTTTTTTTTATGATCTTTCCGTGGTTTGTTGTGGGCCCTGGTTTCTGGAGAGTTACTGTTACTGGCCGCGGTCCCTGACTCGTGGGCAGTTTTCTTGCGGGTAAATGATCGGATGAGGTTGTGGCGTCTGGTGATGGTGTGTATATTTTACATAATATCACAATAATTATTATATCATGAATGGGTGGGAGAGTGGTGCGCTGGGGGAAGAAGGAAAAGAAATAGAATTTCCCCAATGCGCGAGTACGTACTGTACTGTACAGTACATGCAAATGCCACTGCCGCCGTCTCCCATCTAGTCAATTCATTCATTCACTCGTGCATCATCCCGCGTATTGCTCCGGAACCCTTCACCCAAGTAACTTTTATAAACCGTGCATAATAAGACATCGCAACTCCGGAAGCCTGATGATATCTATCATGCCAACCCGTACGCCATCAATCCCAGAAACCCAAGACTTATCATTACACCCTGTGCACACCTCAGTTCCCCCAATACTCATCGCCCAGCGTCCAACACTTTAATTGCCTCGTCGTGCTGGCCAAGAATCTTCCTAACATAACTACAACCTAGAAATTAGCCACCGCTCCAAAAAAAAAAAAAAAAAAAAGGTAAAGGATAACATACTCATTCTCCTTCCCCTTAACCCTCTCCCTCCCACGGTTCAACCTCTCAACACCCTTCCGGATACTCTCAACATGCACCTCCAACGGAATCTCCCCTGCGGTCTCCCCCTCGCCCTGTGTGTCGCGGAGCATAGCCGGTTGTGCGACTCTATCTCTAAGGTCCTCTAAATCCGACTGCATCTGTTGCAGCCGTATCAGCGAAGCGGATACGTGCGCCAGGGCTCTACTCCTATAGGTAGCAATGTTGGCGAGCAGACTCCGGTGGGAGGCAAAGTTGGCGAGTTTGCGGCGGTTGCCGCCGAGGAATGACCATAGCTCTGCAAGGACTTCCTGGTGTTTCTCCTGAAGGACTGAGTCCTCGCGCGAGGCCATGTCTTGGATGGTCGAGAGGCGGTTTTCCAGGTCATCTAGGTCGCGCAGGACTAGTTCTGCCTCCAAGATTAGGCGTTGGATCGAGGTGTCCATTGTGGTAGAGGCTTGAAGGAAGGCTTTTAGGATTGAGGATTGGGTCTTTTGCTGGTTGTGCGGGACTAGGATGTGGAGCGGTGCTAGGACGATCCGTGATACTGCGCTGGCGATAGAGGGGGGGGAGTCGGTCGTTGTGGAGGATAGCTGGGCGTTTTCTAATGACCGAATGGCGAATTCATCCATTGCCAGGAGGCTGTCCACGACCCCGTTCACCCTAGAGCCGAAGCGGGTAAGGCCACGGGATGTCTGCTTCGCGGTTTGGACAAAGTCGTCCAGTTTCTCTGATAGCTCGTTCCTATTTACCAGCTTGCTCGCGCGCACGAGCATGCTCAGGTCCCGCACAGCGACTTCAGAGTTCTTGAGGTCCAGGGCCATGCTACTGCCCCCCGCACTGCTCTCGAGAATGTCTTCGAAGCTAGCCTGCAGGTTTATCAGTTTCGGAAAGTCGGTTTGTGGGATACGGTTCCCGTCGTCGCCATTACCAGTGCTAGCGCTGGCGAAGTCGCAGATGGGTACGTTCAGCAACGACGCCCCAGGCAACGCACATATAGGTGATAGTAACTGGTACAAGCTCTGCGCCACAAATTGAAAAGCGTAGCATAGCACCACTACGAAGAGGTATATATAAAAGATATATATGAGCGGTTTCTTCAACAATCCCAGCCCCGTAAACACCACCTCGGAAAGGAATCCCAGCAATGACCCAGCAGTGCGGAAGATATTCTGAGGCGCGTCCCCGAAGTCGCCGAGTTCAAAGCGAGGGGGTGCTGGGGGGTTAGAGGTCGACGGCTCGGAAGCGGGAGCGGGGACGAAGAAAGCGGATGGCACGGGTGGCGCCGGAGCTTCTTGTCTGGGAATGATCGTTCGGCGGCGGGTAGCGCTGGTGGAAATTACCCGACGGCGACGCGGGGGTGTGGCGCGCGGGGTTAAGGAGCGTCGGGTGGCTACAGTGGAGCGGGGGGACGTGTTTGGTGAGCTGTCGCACGGTTCTAGGTGGGACATACTGAGGGTTGGATATGGAGAAGAGGAGGAAGATAATTGCGGAAGAGAGGGGGCAGCTGCTGGACGCCGGGTCATAGAGGGTGGATGTTCTCTAAGGGTAATCGGTGAAACTTTTCGGTCTGATGCTTGTTCGAGTAGGGCAGCAGCGGGGGAATTGCTCGAGGACAAGGCAGCAGTAGTAATCTAGGTCTAGGTCTAGGTCTGGTGTTGTATCATACAAAATAGTATGGTCTAGTGCAAATAACTCGAGTCGAGGGTTCGGTGGTAGAGCGAGAAGACTTCGTAGCGGGAACCGAGCTGGTTTTCTGCCCCGGACCAAAACTGCCTGCCCGCCTAACTTCGCTGGATGTGCATGAATGTTTTGTTGGCAAAACGAGGCTTGCGGTATGACGTTTGCTGGCAGTGGCGTTGGCCTTTGGAAACCCAAGCGTTTCAGCCACTGATACACGCTTCGGTTCCTTTCCCCACACAACTTTGTCAACTTCCTTCCCCCCGCATTTTGATGAAAATTCTGAATCAGGAATCGGGATTGTCAAAAAAGTACCGGTAGGACAACTCCAACATCAAGCATCGTAGAACACAGAGCAGAGCAGAGCAGGGCAGAGCAGGGCAGAGCAGGGCAGAGCAGGGCAGAGCAGAGTGTCAGACCCCAATATTATCATACCGGCATCGAATCCACGGCGAGCGGCCGCCTCGACACTCGTCCCCAGTTGTCATGCAGGCTCACAATTGTTCCGAAGCAGACCTCCTTGTTTAAGCGAACGGATAAACCCCCTCCGTAGCGGACGGATGCCTCAGCGGGACTACAGTAGCCATTTCGTTGACCGTTTGACCAGATACCCGGATACAGAGCGATAGTTTGGGGTCAGAGGGAGGAATATCAGGTTGAAGGTTGTTGGCCGAGGGTTAGTGAAGGGAGTAGGAAGGGGTCTCTAGATAAGCAGTCCAGACTACCAACTTTACGGTGGAGTCATGCTAGACTTAGTAAACCTCAAGTAGTGGAGATACCGGTATTGTACCATAATATTATTAGGTACTTTTACTTGTACGGTGCCGGATTGTTTGCACTGTACTATATCAGTTACCACTCGTACAAGTGCCGAGAGGGTTAATATTGATGAGAGTCTCCATGTTATACAACTTCGCGATTGTACACAGAAATTATAGTCTACCCTGATATCTCGAGTATGATACAATGTTTGAAGGACTTGAAGAGAAAGTAATTGATATTGAGATGGATCTCTCGCCCAAGCTATATTATACCCGGAGATATCGGGAGAACCCTGGAGCAGCGCTTAGAGCCTGATTCACCATTGGGCTCCAGTCCACCAATCAATATCTTTGATCATCCACTGGCATGTCGTCAGAAATCACTACTTCCTGGTAAGAATTCCTGGTAATTATCCCACTGCTTCCACTGTATTTTACTCGCCAATTCGTCCAAGACCACACAACTAGCAACAGCCCAACATTCATACTGTACCGCACTGTACTCGTACAGTGCAGTGCCTGTACAATAGAGTATAATACCTGTATGATACGGCCAAGTATGATACCTGCTTCCCCGTAGTTCACCCAGTTTCTACGATACCTCTACGATACCCCCCACCTCAACCACGAAATTGCACAATATCCCCCCTTCCACCCCCCACCTCATCCCCATTCCCCAACAAATACAGCACTGTACTCGAGTAGTATGATACCACCATCTAAAAACACTGTAGCATTACACTACGAGTACGTCTCCTGCTCTGCTCCCCAACCATCTTAACCCACCATTCCGCACACCAAATATCATATAACCCCCCCGGGTAAAAAAAAAAAAAAACTCATCTTAAATCCACCAATTTCGTGTGAATCCCCCCCGCCCACCGCGGAGGCCGGGAACCGCATCTAATCATAAAAAGCAGACAACAACCACTCGACCGCCGCCGCACGAGCCAAAGGAAGTGGACCGAGCACTATCAAGACGACCAAAAAAAATTGGGCAAGGGGTTATTGTTACTGTATTCGTATGGAGGAGTGTGGGTTCTGGGGTTTGATCTGCAGACCGGGGGGGATATCGAGGTTCATGGTGGTTTTGTTTGTGGTGCAGAGTGGTGCAGAGTGGTGCAGAGTGAGTACCGGTGGATTAGAATACCGGTAGATGTCAAGCGTACCTTTCGATGCGAAGGAGTTGTTCTACCAGGCCGCTGATAGTGCTTGCTTCGGTATGGTGGCGGGGGATGGGGTGCCGGTACCCGTCTGCCCGTGATGCGATGGTGGGGTGTCTGTCGGGGTTTTAGACAAATCATCGGGGGCACGGGGGGTTGAGCAGACGGACCCATGGTGCTGACATATGGACAGGCTAATGACAAGGCTTGGCTACATGGTTCCTTGATCCCACCCGGTCAAAGTGAAAAGAAAAAAAGCCATGAAATCGGGCCCGGAATTGAGGGCCCTAGATGCCAATTTCCGCCATACAGTACAGTACCTTTATACCCTGATCAGGGTATGGTTTTGCAGCCGCGCTCCTTAGATATAACTTTAAACCGGAGTGGTTACAAGATATCTGAGAATTCGCCACTTTATGACCTTCCCAAACGACCGAGTTTAATGGGCACAACAATTGTCAGCGGTTTCATGAACTCTCGATGCGAACGGCAACCCCGAGCAATATACGATAATATCATATCGTACCAAAAAGGGCACGGAAGTCCGATATCTACCGCATCAACCACAAGATCGCTCCCTCAGGACCTCGGTTGTCCCGATCTACGCCCGCCCTCGGATCTCCCGCATGCGCATCATACCATCATCAAAAAACCGTCACAGTACCGGCGTCAGCCGCAACCGCATCGGAACTGATATTGATTTTCGTATTAATAATCCACATTCCCTCCAGCCCGAGCCAAACAGACGGTGGTAAAAAAGCCACCCGGAAAAAGAAGAAAGAAAAAAATCATTTCGACATGTATCAGACTAGAGGAGAGGCCAATTCGGCTCCACGCACCCCCTTTGCCGTTGTCACGTTAGACAGATATGGCACGCTTTGGAGCGATAATGGTGGTGGGTGGTGGGTGAACCTTTCATGGTTGATTTGATACAAGTACCGTATGATAGGTTATCAGTACTTGAGTACTGTACCGACAGATTAGTCGTGGTTGCCGTACCGGTAGTACAAAGTTGGACGGATATGGCATGTTTTGGAGTAATAACGGCGATATGTAGTAACCTTTCACGGTTGGTTTGATATACTTGTAATAGGGTTTCGGTACTTAGAGTACAGATTAGTAGTAGTTGCCGCGCCGGTATGGTAGTAAATATCATAGTTTGTGCTAAATTTATAGAGCACAGGTGTTGGTTAGCGATGAGTTATGACGTTGTCCTACGAGTAGAGTAGGACAGTTGCGGGTTGGCCAGTCTTGATTTCTAAGAGTTCCCCTCTTTCTCACACCCCCTCTGCACTCTCTGCTCCCACTACGAGTAGACGATGCTCGGTCGGTTGGTTGAATGGGTGGATGGCAATAGACTACTCGTAGTGGAAACAAGGCTGATGGCCCTGCCCTTTGCTTGCTTGCTGCCGCCCCGCCCCGGAGATCCTGCCAGCGGTGGTGGTAATAGCCTAACTCTACTCGTAGAGTCACCTCACCACACACACACACATACAGATTGACGACACCTCACTCGAGCAGAGTGCTCGAGCATAATACTGTCTGAAGAGTTATAAAAGCTCAAGTCTGCTCTCGTCCTCGGGGGGTTTTTATTATTATTTATTTTGTTCTAGAACATCAGATTTGGCATCATCAAAAGCTACACAGCACTTTGAAGATCCATACTTACATCAATCCAATACGGTATCATACCTGGATAAAGAAAGCCCCCACACACACGCGTATACGTCCCTCCTCCATTGAAAACACCAAAATGGTCTCCAACAAACGTGTCGTTTTCAACTCAATCCCCAGTGGCTTCCCCGTTGCGGGAAAGGACCTCATCCTCGACACTGTCGAAGTTGATCTCGACAATGTCCCGCAGGGCGGTGTCATCACCAAGAATTTTTATCTCTCCTTCGACCCGTACCAGCGTGGACGTATGCGCGCCCCAGACGTCGTATCATACTCCCCGCCATTTGCCCTCCATCAGGCCATCACGAACGACGGTATTAGTCAGATTGTCAGGAGTGACAACCCGAATTTCAAGGAAGGCGAATTGTGCAGCGGACAGACCGGTACCGAGGAGTACACCGTACACACTGAGAATACGGCGAAGGGATTGAAGAAGATCCACAACCCGTACAATCTCCCCCTGAGCTACTTCACCGGTGTATTGGGAATGCCCGGATTGACTGCTTAGTATGACCTTTACCTTCCCCTACCTTATCTCCCCCCACCTATGAATAATGAGCCCTCACAATTGACAAATAAACCTATGGCGCAGTTCCTCCCTCTACGAGATCGGGAAGCCAAAGAAGGGTGAGACAATCTTCGTCTCGGCAGCCTCGGGCGCCGTGGGGTCCATTGTTGGTCAACTCGCGAAGCGGGAGGGCCTCCGGGTAATCGGCTCGGTTGGCTCAGACGAGAAGGTGGCGTATATCAAGAACGAGCTTAAGTTCGACGCGGCGTTCAATTACAAGACCACCTCGACCGACGATGCACTCGGGAAATACGCGCCGGACGGGATCGACATCTACTACGACAATGTCGGCGGCGAAGCCCTAGACGCCGCACTGGCCCATGGCAACCTAAACGCTAGGTTTGTCGAGTGCGGGATGATCTCGCAGTACAACCTTGCTGACCCCAAGGATGCTTACCCCATCAGAAATATTATGTGGGTTGTTCCGAGACGGTACACTATCAGGGTGAGTTATTCCCTCTTTCCGTATGATATCGCCCTCCTCCCCCCACATCGCAACAAAGTTAGGGTATCATAAAGATGACACCAAAGTACTGTACTGGGATCAAGGAGGGGGGGAAACTTATCTCCTTTGGGAAACGTTTCTAACATTCCTCTTATTACGATTGCAGGGATTCATCGTTGGTGATGCGGACTTTGGTCCAAGATATTATAAGGAGCACCAAGAGAATATTGGCAAATGGCTTGCAAGCAAGGAGCTAATCTACCGGGAATCCGTCAGCGATGGTCTGGACAATGCCATCAATGGCCTACTTGGCCTGTTCCACGGAAGAAACTTTGGCAAAGCGGTGCTAAAGGTACTGTAAACGTCGCCCCCTTCCGTGTCACGAAAAACAAAAGATGAGAAGAAGCTCCGTCTCGCCCAATACATATACTAACCCCGAGTCGCTCTCCCACAGATAGCCGACATTGGTCAATAAAAAAATGGAAAACACTTTCCCCCATTCCATCAGCAGCGATGGAAAATAAAAGCCATCATGCAAGTACTGTAACCGGTACACGTACTCGGTTATTGGTTTTGTTTTATGTTTTGTTTTAAGTATTGCCTTGATACTTGGTTTGTTTTAAGTATCGTTTGATACTTGGTTTTGTTTTATATTTTGTTTTAAGTATCATTTTGATATTTGGTTTTGTTTTATGTTTTGTTTTAAGTATCACTTTGATACTTGGTTTGTTTTAAGTATTGTTTGATACTTGGTTTTGTTTTATGTTTTGTTTTAAGTATCGTTTTGATACTTGGTTTATTTTATGTTTTGTTTTAAGAATCATTTTGATACTTGATTGGGTTTATCAAAGTGTATTGCTTGATACCTTTGATTAGTTTCGTTCATGCTAGATATGAACATATCTGTGTATTTAAAGAGTGCCTGTTTCCATGATGGAAAAGGGAGACTTTGACAGACAGTATTCCAATATATTTGATTGAACAGTTACCTCTTTATTTCACACTACACCTTGGAAGCCTCTTTTAGTTCTCAGCTCTCACCTCTACTCTGATAGTGCAGGCTACCTGCCAACTATCATGCTATTTACCAATAACGTAATTAGCACCTTGTGATCATGTTATAAGTACACTCATTTGGGCGAATTTTATGGCATATCACTCGTTATGATCTTAGATGATGATTTGGGCAGCCCCAAAGCAGCATCCTGAAGCCGTAAACAGACTTCCGGAGCCAGGTTTGACTCTATGACCAGACGTTCAGAATACTCTCAGAAGACATCTTCTTACTAAGTAGAAGAACCTTGCAAATCCCACAAAGGGCAGATTTTCACACATCAAGCCAACTTAAAATATCAGAAGCTAACATGATGCCTCAGACTCAGATACCAGCAAGTTCTCACAAACTCCAATACCCAGCATAAGGCCAACAATTGCATATTTTTCACCAAGTTAGGCACCCCTGCAAAACCCATAAAACTTACATTATTATTCTTACACCAAGCCTGGGTATATTTATGCCAAGTTAAATACCAAAACTTAAGCAAAGTTGTACTAAAACACAAAGTTGCCATAGAATATTTTCACCAAATTAGGCACTCTACAAAACCCATAAAACTTGTATTATTATTTTTACACCAAGCTTGGGCATATTATTGTTGAGCTGGATACAAAAACTCAAGTTAAACTGTATTCTATTTTTACACAAAGCTGCCATAATATTATCCCTTATGCAGTCTAAAACTGTCAAAAATCGTCCCAGGTACACTAAGACAGTCTTGAAAATTGATTCAAGCTTTGTGATTGGCTGAGTGTATTAGGCTCAGTACAAGTGCTGAGTTATTTAAGTCTATAAAGAATCCAGGATTAGATTTTTCTGACCAAGTTTACTTGATTGTTGCCAAATCTAGTCTTAGTGCGTTGTGATGATTTTTGACAGTTTCAGATCACCCAAGGGATACAAAAACCTAAAGTGGGTATGTAGATTTGGTTAATACTAATAGGATTAGCAGGAGTGACTGTTCTGTGGAGAAAATTTCTTTTAATATGCAGGAAACACTATAGTAGCCTTCTTTATTCTTCTTCTCAAACTAAACAACCAACAACACTACAGAAACTGAGAATCAAGTTACTTCCAACCATCTTCACCTGCAGTAACCTAGCTTTAATAACTACAAATTTGCAAATCAAGAGTTAGAACCAACCATTTACGAGGCACAAAACCTGCTTATAAAACCTCACGTAATGTATTATAATTGACTAGTTCTAAATCTTGATTTGTAGAATCGTAATTTCAGAATCTGATTGTTGCGAGACAAACATGCCTTGATAATATTATATGGATATTTTGCCAAGAACCACCAACAACCAAAACAGAGTGATATTTGGTAATGGAGAGGGGATACAAAATAGTGTAGGATTGGGTAAATTATCTGAAAATAAATTATTAACACCCAGTATATGCAACAATGTCAGAAGGTATGAAGTTTAAAGTATGATACTATTACAGGGGTTGGAAGAAGGTCTGTCGAACTCTTGGCATCAAATCACATAGTAAACAATAATTCAATTCTTTAACTAAATACTCCTAAGAGTTTGAGAGACTTACCCACAACTCCCGGTATGGGAGGATGGTTGTGTTGGAGGTTCCTTTTATGGATTTAAGGGAGAGGCGCTCTTCATAATGTTCATGTATAAGAGGGGGCTGGGTATGCAGTTTTTTTCGCATAATATTATTATTTCTTTTCACAAAATACGCACACACATATACGCATGCACACAAACAGAGCGAGAAAATTTTTAGAAATTCTGGTACAGTTAGCAGTGTATTCCTGCACCACACCAAGTTTATTTTTGTTTGTATACACATCATCTTTTTATCTGGTACAATCAGAATTTTTACTCAAAGAACTACTCCACCTCCTCACTCACGATACTCCTTCCTTAGGTGGTGTGGCCAATCACAGTCCTCTATCCTAAGGCTTCATTTCCTCTGAGAGTTTAGGATGCTGGCCAGAAGACCATCCTACTCGCTTATCATGGCCTCTCAACCCATGTCCCCAGCCTTACCGCACCTTCCACACTCCCCCTCTCGACTGGGAGGACCCAGAAGTTCTACCAAGAGCCCAAGGGTCAACTCCCCCAGCCTCTTCCCAATGGGCTCCCTATGAGGGGTAAGCTTTAACTCAATCCTTCCCATGTTTACCACTATTAGGTACTAAGAGAATGTCCCAATGCTTTGATTAACATTGGAAACAGGATCATAGCCTGAGGAAGTACCTTCACTAAGGTCAGACGAGAACTGAGGTGCTCAGACGCATGCTATGTCCTCCTTACAGGAAACATAAAGACACCAACTATAGCGGCCCTCCAACCAGAACTGCCCGGTTTCAGGACTACGCTCCAGAAAATCTTCAGCAACGAAGTTGTAGATGCCACCGACATTGACACTCTAGTCTTTTTAATAGTGGCAGCCTCATCCTACTACCCGTCACAAGAAAGCCCGGTACCAGTATACCAGATACAGCAGGTCCTGGCCTCCTCCTTCCCACTAACCGATGTGACCAAACCCATGGACCAGACCCAAGATATTGGGGTGCCTGAAATACAAAACATGTAGGAGGTGGTAATGTCCTTAGGACACGGGAAGAACATAGACAACACTGGGCTAGAAGATAGCCAATACACCCACAGTTTAGATGAAATAAAGGAAAGTTCAGTGGCTGTTAGGCGGAGACAACTTGATAGACTTCAAGGTTGTCTAGGCCAATTGAGATTCGTTTTTGTAGACTGAGATTGTCTAGAAAGGCTCGAACTTTACTCGTTTCGTTTATGACTACTAGGAGTGAAGTAAAAATAGGTAAAGTAGGGTAGAATTGTAAAAACAAGATTATATTGTTAACGTCTCTTCTCCGTTGCTTGATGATGTCTAAAGCTTGGGAGACACTTCGATATTTATATTCCGTGTCTGAGTATTTACAAACTACATCTACTTATCATACAACTATGTACTTCTTCAATCGTAATTCGTGATGTCGAGTTTTCTTCCAAGGTGCGAAAACCTTTGGACCCTGAAAACCATCACACCCTCTTCGGTAATTACGATATTTCTTCTTAGGAAACGTGTTGTCCCCAGTAGTAATATCCCGATTAGCAGAGTCTTTAGACTTATGGCCTAGTTCTTAAGTCGAACTGAGTTGGCTCCAATTGTCTTCGCCATTGACAAAATGATCAGTTTATCTACAGCTATATCTGCACAGGTGGTTGTCATTACAATCATCGTAGGTCATCTAATTCCGATTCTTTGTAACTCCATACCCAACTAATAGATTTTCTTTGGATGACTTCCTATTAACTCGCAGGAAGCCACTCTACTAGGCTTGTAATTAATCCCTCGGTCGGCAACCCTTGGTTGCTCTCTGGGTAGTAGGTTTCAGTAACCATTATAGAATTAAGAATCACTCCATGGCTACGATGTGTTCTGAAACCTAGTTGCAATACTCCGTGAAGTTCATTGGCTTCTTTGGTAGTGTCTTTTGGAGTTCTAGACTCTTCTGGTGGATGTAAATATATTGGTCTCTAGAAGAGATCCTTTACCATTTGATACCATCTCTTTGTGCGAAATCGTCCCGTTACTTACGGCCCATGCCAAAGGTGTCATGTCTTTGAAGCCAAGTTACGCTCTGAGTAGTTGACGGAATTACTCTGTTCTACTTCCCAGGCCTAGCCGAAGGTCCCCTCTCATATAATCTGCGAATAGGATCCGGTCGGACAGACAGCAACGATGTATATAGTGTTATTCTTATACCTTCAATTCTGTGGTATTATAGTCACAGGACGCAACTGAGATTGATATATATGATGACACGCGGGCCCCGTAAGGGAGCCAGAGGGGAGCGTTGGAGACCAGAGATTCCGATTCTGAGTAGGGTTACCCTACCTAGGGTGGTTCCTAGGTATCGGGTTCTGGTATTCCTAACAGCTGCCCAGAGTGCTCCAAGACAAGTGCAGTTTTCCTACCCCCTGGCCACAGCAAGGGAGATTCCTGGAACCCTCTCTGACAACATGACGGCCGACACAGCCTCATTCCCAGACAAAATAACTGACGCCAAACTCATACTAGTGGAGATGAAAGAGCTGAAACGCAGAGTTATGATAGGCAATATGGTTGGTTCCATCCACTGCGTGGAAAGGAAATTCCAGGAACAACTACAAGTTGTGGAGGTACGTCTTACCACATAGATAAGGGAAAGGAGCAGACAAAATAGCACTAATACCCTCTCCCCTACCACTGCCTCCAGACAACCTGGAGCCCCAAATCCTACCCCAAACCCACTTCCACTAATACGTACTACTGCACTACAACCCCCACTTTAACAGATTTTAAGAAAGTGCAAGCTGAACACACTAGTAGAGGTCATGCTCAGAAGGGTCATGGACTCCAGTGAGCGGTCTATAAATGCCTCTGCAAACCTTTCACAAAGAACAGCCTTCAAGAAAATATGGGCAGAAATAACCTCTACTGGAATTGATGTTAACAGCTTCCGTTTGATTCCAACCAAGAAGAGGCG